TCCAGATAAGAGGTTGGCCGACAGATGTTTCAAGTGGCGATGAAAGCTGGGAGCAAAACGTGGCAGTCTGGAGTGCTGCCTGCGCTGCAGTGAAAGTAATGTTGTGGGGTTGATGAAAAGTAAACCACTGCATTAGGTGTAAAATAAAAGCATTTCACTTCTCTTGCATGAAAAGGGACATGAGGTGGGACAGCAGCAGGCAGGGTTTTGTTTTGTTTTGTTTTGTTTTTTTAAAGTAGCTCCCCTGGTTACACAGCTTGGTGGGTGACGCTCTTCACTGCTGAGGTTGACAGGTGTTTTATGATCCCCTAAAAGATCATAAAGCTAAAGTTTTCAGATCAAAGGAAAACCAACAAATAGAGGCAGCATTATTTGTGAAAAACTTTACCATAAAAGGAAGCAGGGAAGTTAGGGTTGAGACTGGATGATGGTCTATGGTCATACATAAGCAATTGTTTTTTTTAGTTGAGCTATTGAAGTGTATTTTTACACTAATGGGGAAAATTAATGATTGAGAAGAGAGAGAAGAAAATTACAGGAGAGAAGCTGTTAATTGTCCAGAACATAGGATTCCGTGTACGGCTAGTGGGGTTTGCATTCTAGAGGTACAGATAGTTCATCCTCATCTCTCTTCCAGGAATCTATGAGAAGAGATACAAATAGATTAGTAGATTTGCTGGTATAGGCCCATGGAAATCAAAGTGGGCCACTCCCCTGAACTTGATACTTGATACTATGCTTGGTATAGATATCAAATATTTTGTTGATCATATAATTGTTGAACATATATAGACTGACCCCAGAATAAAATTTAGAACTTCTTATTTGGTCCTTTCTTCTAACAGTAGCAGGAAAGAAAAAAAAATGCTCTTAAATTGATGCTTCTAGGGGAGGCACAGTGGCTCATGCCTGTGATCCGAGCAATTTGGGAGGGTGAGATGAGCAGATCACTTGAGGCCAGGAGTTCCAGACCAGCCTGGCCAACATGGGGAAACCAATCTCTATTAAAAATACAAAAAATTAGCTGGGTATGGTGGCACGTGTCTGTAATCCCAGCTACTTCAGAGGCTAAGGTCTGAGAATCCTTTGAACCCGGGAGGTGGAGGTAGCAGTGAGCCGAGATGGCACCACTGCACTCCAGCATGGGTGACAGAGCAAGACTCCGTCTCAAAAATAAAAATAAAAATAAATAAATTGATGCTTCTAGCTATTTGGGGGCATTCATTCCTTCAATTGATGATAATCCACCACCACCATATTTGCCAGATATGATGACAGACATTGCAGATAAAGAGATGAGACAGGTATAGTCATTGTCCAGAAAGAGTAAAAGTTGGGGGCAATAAATAAGCACCAACAAATGAATACGATAATGTTTTCTCAGTTCTATGTGAGCCATGGTTGTTGATTATAAGCAACAGACACTGACTCGTGATCTTTGGACTAATCAGGAATTTATTGAAATATGGAGGACATAGAAAGCCAGAGAACTAGACTTGGAAAATAAACGTGCCCCAGAGAAGCTCCATCATGCCAGGAGTCTTAGGTACAACAGTCAGTCGGACCAGGACCCAGTGCCACTGGTGAGGTTCTGCTGCCACACTCGGCACCTGCACTAGTTCTCCCTTGGGAGGACAACATATACAATGCCACTTTCCCAGCTCTGAAGATTTTCCCACTTGCAGCTTAACTGAGCCTTTTTACCATCGTAAAAGGCCAGGGATTTTTAGGTGATGAGTACGTGGTAGGATCAGTAATAGGGCATTGTTTATGCTTTACTTTTTTTTTTTTTTAAACTATAAAGTGAATTTCTTGGTCAGCAGCAATGTTGTGTGAGATACTATATATTAGTTTCATTAAGATAGCATATGGGCTGGGTGCAGTGGCTCATGCTTGTAATCTCAGCACTTTGTGAGGCAGAAGCGGGTGGATCACTTGAGGTCAGGAGTTTGAGACCAGCCTGGGTAATATGGTAAAACACCGTCTCTACTAAAAATACAAAAGGCTGGGCGCAGTGGCTCACGCCTGTAATCTCAGCACTTTGGGAGGCTGAGGCGGGCGGATCACAAGGTCAGGAGATTGAGACCATCCTGGCTAACATGGTGAAACTTCATCTCTACTAAAAATACAAAAAAATTAGCCAGGCGTGGTGGCGGGCACCTATAGTCCCAGCTACTCAGGAGGCTGAGGCAGGAGAATGGTGTGAATCCGGGAGGCGGAGCTTGCAGTGAACCCAGATTGCGCCACTGTACTCCAGCCTGGGCGACAGAGCGAGACTCCGTCTCCAAAAAAAAAAAAAAAAAAAAAAAAGATGACGTATCAGTACAGATTTCTGTAAAAAGTGGCATATTCAAAAGATGTTACTGAAGAGAATTTAGTAAAGGGTCCATTCACAAAGCGTCAGCGAGGTTATGAAAACTAACTAGGGACCGCGAAGCATCCTGGGATTAGCAGTGACAGGACTACCATCCTTAGCCTGAAAGGGAGCAGAGAAAGACTGGATTCCAGAACTTGGCATAACTTTAACCCCAGGAAAGAGCTGCCCAGCAGGAGCTGTGACTTGCAGGCAAGAGGCAAAGCCATTGTTCAACCTAACTTGACCTCTGCTTCTGCTGCCTCCTCCCAAATCCTGCCTGTGCCTGCTTATGCCCCAGATGGAGGTCTGAGAGGAAAGAAGCTTCCCTGGAGAGCCTCCCGGAGGTGTTGCTAGCAGATGGTGTTGCAAATAGAAGCATGGTGGGCAAAGAGGAAATTCAAATGCAGATTAAATGTCTATTCTATTGAATTCCTCTCCAGTTGCTGCCCCCTCCGGGATGGAAGGTGACCCCAGACAATCAGCCTGCTGTCAGACAGATGGCTGATTCGCTTGAAGCTTTGTATAATACCGTGGGCTCAGGGTTTATTGCTTCTGCTGGTCGATGGAGCACTCAGCAGTGCCAATGGCAAGATCAGCCTGGAGAGGAGAGGAATATGTTACTGTGCACACAGATAGCCGTCAACCTATTCACGACCTCAATGGAGCAAGCCCTAGAGTGTCAAGCCAGGAGGTCACCACGACCATCTTATTTTCTGGACTTAAAAATATTCTTGGCTGGGCGCGGTGGCTCACACCTGTAATCCCAGCACTTTGGGAGGCTGAGGGGGTGGATCACGAGGTCAAGAGATCGAGACCATCCTGGCCAACATGATGTAAACCCCATCTCTACTAAAAATACAAAAATTAGCTGGGCATGGTGACACGTGCCTGCAGTCTCAGCTACTTGGAAGGCTGAGGCAGGAGAATAGCTTGAACCCAGGAGGCAGAGGCTGCAGTGAGCTGAGATAGCACAACTGCACTCCAGCCTGGCGACAGAGCAAGACTCCGTCTCAAAAACAAACAAACAAAATACATACTTGCAGCTGGGCGCAGTGGCTCATGCCTGTAATCTCAGCACTTTGGGAGGCCAGGGTGGGAGGATGGCTTGAGGCTAGGAGTTCAAGACCAGCCTGGGCAATATAACTAGTCCCTCTCTCTACAAAAAAAGGAAAAAAATAATACAAAAACATTAACCAGGTGCCATGGCGTGTGCCTGTAGTCCCAGCTACTGGGGAGGCTGAGGTGGGAGGACTGCTTGAGCCCAGGAAGTCAAGGCCTCAGTGAGCTGTGATTGCACCACTGCACTCTGGCCTGTGTGACAGAGCGAGACCCTGTGTCCAAGAAAAAAAAAAAAAGGATAGTGGGATAGTGTGGAGTCTTAATTAGGGAAAAGGAGTCAGGCTGGCAGGACCAGGGGAGAGCAAAGAGAGAAAGCAAATAAGCTATAGGTCTGACTTTCTTCCTGGCCCAGGACATATAGCCCTTCTGAGCAAATAACGTGCATAACTCACAAACTTCCTGCTCATCATCAAACACTGCGATTTATCATCAAGCTCCTTGGCTGACAGAAGAATGCAGGTGAGCTCCCTGCTACCTTGGTGTTATCGATCAACCCAGGAATCGTTCTATAAAATCTCCAGCAAGCCTTTGTTTCCTGGCAGTCAGCTCCTCTTCCACTGATTCTGCCCATTGCACTCTGGCGGCATGTTTTCCTACTTTCTCTAATAAATCTGCCTCTCTTTACCTACAACTGTCTTGGTAAATTTGTTTACCCCTGCACCACTGGCCCAGACAGTTGCTGCTCACCCGCAACAGAGAGATAGATGATTGATAGATAGATAGATAGATAGATAGATAGATAGATAGATAGATAGATTCTTGCACTATGAGCAATTCTGAGAAGTTCATTTATATGACTCTTCCCAGACTGTTTCTGTGTCACTAACCAGCCAATACAGTAGCCACTGCAGGGCATGAAACAGGCCCACTTGCCATGCCTTAGTTGATCTTTGATCAAGAAATGTACAGCATCTCAACTCTGGTTAGGCCACCACTGAGTCCAGGTTTTGATTGAACAGATGAGCAAGCTCCTAGAACTGCATTCAGTCGCCCAGGTTGGCACATGAAGCCCAGACTCTCTGGTAAGCTCACCCATGTTGATAAACTTAGTACAGTCTATAATTACATTCCTCTCTTTGGCAGTCACCTTCAGAATCCGTATGTGTGGATACTTACCCCAGATCTTTTCCTTCTAAATTCAATGGGCCGTAAATCTGGTGTGTAAACCTTCTGGGTCTGACTTTGTAATATTTTTTCTCTGGAACCTGCAGGAAAGTGGCCAGTTACAGACTTGGGGACAGTGAGAAGGGGAGGGAACATGGTGGTGTGGAATGGGCTGAGCTCTCTCCCTCTTACAGGAAACTCCGTCTGGTGGGGGCATGGCGGGCCTATAAGGAAGTAAGGGTTGTCCTTTTCAGGGGAGTGAGGGAGGGCTGCATCCAAAAATTCTCATTCCTGTTCTCGGGACCCAGTTTTGCCCCCTGCAGGCAATGCCCTGACTTTCACATAAAATATTTGGGGAGGCTATGAATTCAAATAACTTGGCAGCCTATAGATTCTCACTAACCTAGAGCTTGTATTTCAGCTGCCTTAGCACTACCGCTTCAAGAGATAAAGAGAATCAAGCCTGTGTCGAGTTAAGAATTAAATGGGAGGTTGCAGTGAACCAAGATCATGCCACTGCACTCCAGCCTGGGTGACAGAGTAAGACTCCATTTCAAAAATAAGAATAAAAAATAAAAATAAAATAAAAAATGATTTGAGTATTTTTTTTTCTTAAGCTCATTCAAATGCCTTCCTGCCTTCTTGAATTCCTCATGCCCTTGGTAGCATTCTCCAGTGAGAACGGTGTCAATTCCCAAAGCCTTGCCCTACTTGGATACCTAAATCCTACAACTACAGGTGATTAGTTAAATGAGCTTTCTGTTACTGTACCCCACTGGTTGCCAGAGTCCCATTCTGGACTTAATGATGTTTCTCAGAATCTTCATATTTCTCTTGGAATGGCCGGAACAACGACCAACACGTTTTTAAAAATTTAGTTAAAATTGTGAATTGCAGGCAACAGAAAGGAATTCTGGATTTCTTAAACAGAGAAGAACATTGTCTGGAATACAGCAGGGACTGTACAGAATCAGGAGAACCTGGGTTGGAGAATGGGTTTGAATCCTGATTGTCTGAGAAGGACAAGGGCCCCTATTAGTGGGAATGATGTGGCCAGGACACTGTCACCCTGCCTGTGCCTTTGAATGACTCCCTTTGCATTCAGAGTCCAGGATAAGCGTTCACGGTTGATTGAATCTAGGTCACAGGACCAGGCATCTATATTTGTTTCCTGGGGCTACTGTAATAAATGACCACAAACTGGGGGCTGAAAACAACAGAAATGTATTCTCTTGCAGCTCTGGAGGCCAGACGTCCTAAATCAAGTTGTCAGCAGGGCCCTGCTCCCTTTGAAGACTCCACAGGAAAATTCCTCCTCGCCTCCTCCAGTTCCCAGTGGGCCCAGGGACTCTTTGGCTTGTGCCAGTGTAACTCCAGTATCTGCCTTCCGCCTTCTCTCCTGCCTATTTCAAGGACATTTGTCATTGGCGTGTAGGGCCCACCCAGATAACCCAGGATGATCTCCCCTTGAGATCCTTAATTACATCTAAAATAAGGTCGCATTCCCAGATTCCAGAGGTTAGGATGTGGGCATATCATGGCGGGACTACACCATCTCACCAGGGGACAGGGAGTGGGGAAAGCTCCCTGCTTCCATGTCTATGGTGAAAGGCAAGGCTCTGCATCCCACCAGCACTGCACACTACGGAGTTGAGTAGAAAATGCCCTGAGATATTAAAGCCAAAATAAACCAGATTGCAACCACAGCACTAGTGCCAAAGCCTACCATATAATACAGGAGAGGTACAAGAGAGCACAGAAGACGAATCCTACATGGGGGGCAAGAAAGGCTTCATGACACAAGCTGAACCATCAGAGATACTTGGTCTGTTAGGTGGTGTAGAGGAGAAAGGAAATTCCAGGCAGAGAGGGAACAGATGAGCAAAAAGCACGAAGGTATCAAATGTCCAAAGCTTTCAGGGAATTTCAAGTCCAGAGGGAAGAGCAGTGGCACTAGATAAGGAGCTTGTGCTGGAATATAAATCCACGAAGTCACTATGCGGATTCCTTTTTTGTTTGTTTCTTTGATCACTGCAAGAGTTTCTCTATGATAGAAGTAATGCACTGATTTACATTCTGGTGTAAAGTCCTCCTCTCGTTGTCACAGAGAAGTCACTGGCTGGCTACTTCAAATGGCGCTGGCAGAGCACAGGGTGCGCGAATTGCGGGTGGGACATCCTGAGCGAAGATGCAGATCAGATCCTGGGGGCTTTAGGTGACATGCTCAGGTATTTGGACTTTCTCTTTAGAGCTGGAGAGTGATACAGTGGTGACATAGAGGATGACTTTCAGGACTTGAGTGTGATGGCACGGAGCGTGTGAGATTGGAGACCATTATGTTATCTGCTTCCCCAAACTCAGTTCTTTATTCCAGTGTTGGTTTCTTTTTCCTTTCCTTTTGTTTTTCTTTTTTTTGATAGAAACAGGGTCTCGCTCTATTGCCCAGGCTGGAGTGCAGTGGTGCGTTCATACCTCACTGCAGCCTCAACCTCCTGGGCTCAAGTGATCATCCAGCCTCAGTCTCCTGAGTAGCTAGGACTATAGGCATGCACCACCACACCCGGCTATTTTTCAATCTTTTGTAGAGATAGGAATCTCATTAAGTTGCCCAGGCTTATCTCAAACATGTGGCCTCAAGTGATCCTCCTTCCTCAGCCTCCCAAAGCCAGTGTTGGGAGGTGACAACGTTTTCATCAATCTGTAGTGAAATGAGAAAACTAAACCTGATATAGTCAGTTCTTCATAAATTCTGTTCAATTTCAAAGGACTCTCCTTTGGTTTGAGATCATGACTTCCTAAATTTTATGAGGGTAAAATTGTCCATTTGTCTATGAAATTGTGGTAATAGTAAATAATAGGCTTTACAATCTCTGTATCTATCTATTATATCTATCTATCTACATACCTATCCATGTGTTTGCCTTCAAGTAAAAAATCAGCTGGTCCCTCTAGTTCTCTAATTGTCCCTTTGAGATTTTTCTGTACTGTGCAATCTGCAAGAGTGAGAACTCCCGGCCCAGGTGAGGACTTAATCCCAGGTGGAAGTGATAGGGAAGGGGCAGGGGTACTCACAAGAGGGATATGACAGAGCTGGAATCCACACCATGAGATCCATGACAGTCCAGATTCTACTATGTTTTGCATACACATAGACTCTATCTGAAATTCAAATACATAATCATGGTCGGACATGGTGGCTCGTGCCTGTAATCCCAGCACTTTGGGAGGCCATGGTGGGCAAATCACTTGAGGTCAGGAGTTCAAGACAAGCCTGGACAACATGTTGATACCACATCTCTACTAAAAATACAAAAATTAGCTGGGTGTGGCGGCAGGTACCTGTAATCCTAGCTTCCCGGGAGGCTGAGGTGGGAACATCACTGGAACCCAAGAGGCGTAGGTTGCAGTGAGCCAAGATCATACTGCTGTACTCCAGCCTGGGTGACAGAGCGCGACTCCGTCTACAAAAAAAAAAAAAAATCATAATCAGAGTTTATTTAGTTTATCTTTTTAGTACAGGTTGGATATTTCTAGTCTGAAATTTCAAATCCGAAATGCTCAACAATTTGAAACTTTTAAGTGCCCACGTGATGCCACAAGTGGAAGTCACGCCTGACTTCATGTGACTGGTTGCAGTCAAAATGCAGGCACGGGACACATGGTTTCTTCAGCATCTCCAAGGGACAAAAGGCCCTTCCATCCCTCTTTAGATACGATCTATGTTCTCCTCACATGCCCAAATTTCCCCACGCGAGCATGCTCACAAAGTGTAATAAAATGACCTGTGTTCGGGCACCAACGACGGGTTCCCCACGATGCCCCACATGAGGCCAAGACCTGCGTGCATTACTCAATGTGGTCTTTTGCTTATTTCCTGCTCTGTGGTGTGAAGATATTGTTGAAAATGTCAAAAAGACCTGCAGATACCCCTATGAGTAACGGTGATGAGAAAAAGGAAGCATTTACGTAGTAGTGACGATGAAGATGACATTGCCAACACTGCAGAAAAAGCGCCTGTCAATGGCATGGTGAAAAGGTACGATGGGCTTATTGAAGGACTAGAGCAGTGTGCAGCCATAACACAAGAAATCATGTCAGTTTATAAAATCTGAGCGTTCCAAGACAAAAAAAAAAAAAAAATCTTAATGAGGCAGGTGACTCTGGAGGAAACATTTTCTAAAAGCCATCTAGCCGGCTAGGTGCAGTGGCTCACACCTGTAATCCCAGCACTTTGGGAGACTGAGGAGGGCGGATTACCTGAGGTCAGGAGTTCAAGACCAGCCTGGCCAACACAGTGAAATCCCGTCTCTACTAAAATTACAGAAATTAGCTGGGTGTTGTGGCGGGTGCCTGTAGTCTCAGCTACTCAGGAGGCTGAGGCAGGAGAATCGCTTGAATCCAGGAGGCGGAGGCAGCAGTGAGCCGATATGGTGCCACTGAACTCCAGCCTGGGCAACAGAGCAAGACTCTGTCTCAAAAAAAAAAAAAAAAAACCAATAACAATAAAACCCTTCTAGCAGAATGTCTCCTCATCCCTAGAGGCCCCTCTTCTTGGTCCCTCAACTGCTTCTGATGTTTCTTCTTGCCTTGAAAAATAAAATACAGTGTACAGTAGCCTTTTAATGAAAACACAGCATTGGATGGAGACTGAAAGCCTGCCCTTACTTGTTGCTGTTAATAGCTGACACAGGTATCTGATGTTGTGCTGCTCGGCTACCCTGAACACTTTTTTAAAAAACTGTATTAATGATGTGTCCTATTTTTACTGTTAAGTATTTAAGCGTGAATAAGTATATGAACACGATTGCTTATCAGAAGCATATAAATTTAGAGTCAGGAACGATGGTGCTGTCACACAACCACAGATTGTCCATATGGGTGGCTGAGATAGTGACACCTTTTCTTTCTGATGGTTCAGTGTACACAAACTTTGTTTCATGCACAAAATTATTAAAAATGTGGCATAAAATTACCTTCAGGCAATGTATATAAGGTATTATGAAACATCCATGAATTTTGTGTTTAGACTTGGGTCTCATCCCTAAGAAATGTCATTCTGTCTATGCAAGTCTTCCAATATCCAAAATCCGAAACACTTCTGGTCCCAAGCACTTCGGTTAAGGGATACTCAAACTCTAATAATCCCATGAGTGCCTCTTTGGGATCAACTGTGTTGTAAATTTATTTTATGAAATACACTAATATGTAATTTATTGTCACATTTCCCCTTAATTCCATCCTTAGAAAAATCATTAGATAACTTATAGCTTTATGGTTGAAAACCATGATCTTCATCTAAAAACTCTTTCTTGAGCAACCTTTTTTCAGTAAAATGACTTTGGGATTCTTTGTCCTCTATCCTGCCTAAACCTTCTTTCCTGGGAGAAAAGAGGATGAGTAATACATGTTCCACTTCTTCTCTGGAAGTGCCTTTCATATGTAATAGCAGAGCAGTCTTCTTCCAAGGTGCTATTTTGGGGGACCTGTTGCTTTTATCTCAACACAAACCGAGAGCTGTTTTTGTCAAATTGACACCAGCAGCCAAT